AAAACTAGAAAGCAGTCTGGTAGAAATTAGGTTTAAGTTAATCACAGACCAAGACAAATTTTTAAATGGATATATGATGTAAATAGATATAAAAGGTTACATCATAAGCAAATTAGAGGAGCAAGGAAAAAAATAGACCTTCCACCACAAATGGACAGAGAAAGTTCATGACCAAATAAGGAATAGAGAGGATAACAAAAGTTTAAATGGACCATTTTAATTAAATAAAACTTAAAAGCTCTTGCAAAAACTAAAACAATGCAGCTAAAAGTAGAAGGACAACATGAAACTGCAGGAAAAAAATGTGCAGCAAGTGCCTCTAATTAAGCTTGTCTGATTCAAATACATAAGATCAACAGGCATTTCCCAGATGATAAACCATCTGAGGACTGAACAGGTAGTTCTCGAAGAAGAAATCCGAACTATCATCAACCACATAAACAAATGTTCCAAATCACTGACGATGAGAGAAAGACACATTAAAACAGTGTCGCGGTCCTGCCCCACACCCACCAGATCGGTAGAGCGACCAAAAAGTCCAGTGTCAGCCGCGGCAGGGGCTTGGGGAAGCCTGGAACACTCGGCACCGTTGCTGCAGCTGTAGGCGATCCTCGGCGTTCTGCACAGCATTTGGAGCTCAGTCCCCGAGGTCACTACACTGTGCACAAGGATTTGACCCGACCAGATCATTACTGCCTCTTGGCTTCCTTCCATTCCCATGCAAAATCTGATCTGCTACAAGACCTTCCCAAGCTTCCTTACTGATACTGCTTCCCCTCTGTTGATTATCTCCCATTGCCTCCTGCTTAGAACCTGTTTGCTCAGTTATTTTCATGCTGTCTCCCTCATTAGTGAGAACAGAGACTGTCTTTTAGCTTTCTTTGTATCCCTGGTGCTTAGCACAGTACATAGTAGGTGCTTAATAAATGTTTATTGACTGACTATACCTCTAATGAGTTAGAGGAAAGAGGAATCAAACCTATATATACAAAAATATAGCAACTCTTTCTTTGAAGGAGCTACTTGGCATAGTGGATAAATTGTTGGATTCAGACTCAGGAAGACCTGGGTTTAGCTCCTGCCACAGATGTTTACTAGCTATGTAACCCTGAGCAAGTCACTTATCTTCTCCTGGCCTCAGTTTTCTCATCTGTAAATTGGGAATAATAATAGCATCTATCTCACTAGGTTTTTGTGAGGATCAAAATAAGATAACATTTATTGCCCAAAAGGCTGTAAAAATGTGCATACCCTTTGACCCAGCAATAGCACTTCTAGGGCTGTATCCCAAAGAGATCAAACAAATGGGAAAAGGACCCACATGTACAAAAATATACATAGCAGCTCTTTTTGTGGTGGCAAAGAATTGGAAATTGAGAGGATGCCCATCCATTGGGGAATGGCTGAGCAAGTTGTGGTATATGAATGTAATGGAATACTATTGTGCTATAAGAAATGATGAACAGGCTGACTTCAGAAAAACCTGGGAAGACTTATATGGTCTGATGCTGAGTGAAGTGAGCAGAACCAAGAGGATTTTGTACACAATAACAGCCACGTTATGCAACGACTAATATTGTTAAACTGAACCCTTATCAAGGATCTAAGACATCTCCAGAGGCCTTGGAATGGAAAATGCTATCCACATCCAAAGAAAGAACTATGGAAGTTAAATTGCTATCTTTTTTTTCTCTTCTGTTGAGTTTTGTTTCCTCTTTCTGATGGTTCCTCCTATTGGTTTTAATTTTTACCTACAACATCACTAACGTGAAAATATGTTTAATAGGAATGTAACCATATAGCCTATATCAGATTGTGCACCATCTTGGGGAAGGTGGTGGGAAGGAAGGAGGAGAAAAATTTTCAACTCAAAAGCATATGGAAGTGATTATTGATAAATCAAAATAAATTAATAAAAAAATATTTTAAAAAGCACTTTGCATATCTTAAAGTACTATACAAATGTTAGCAATGATTATTTTGGTTATCACAACGAACTGGAAATTAAGTGAGTATTCAACATTTAGGGAATAGATAACAAATTATGGTATAGGAATGTAGTGGACTATTATGGTAACGTATGATATAACTAAAGGAATGGCTTTATAGAAAGCTGGGAAGACGTATATGAACTGATGCAGAACCCAGAGAACAATTTCTAAAGTAACAACATCGTCAAACCCATTTTTTAAAAGCCTTAAAGATTCTGATTCATGTAATGACCAGCCATGACTCCAGAAGACCTATGATGACTCCTCCTGACCGTGGGGTGGACTGAAGGTGCAGACTGTGACATGCCTTTCTGGACACAATGTGACAATTTATCATGCATGACTCTGCATATTTCTCAGTGGGACTCTGTTTTCCTTTATTTCTAGGGGATCGGTTCTAAGTAGAGAGGGACTTGTGATTGGGCTGTCCAAAAAAGTCATTGAATCATTTACTTAAAATGCATAGAAGAGAACAGAATGAAAGCTAAAAGGAAACACAGCAGACATGCTGAATTTGTTATATTCTTAAAAGGAAAAGCAAGTACTACCTTAAGAGGTTTCATGGTTTCCTGTACAATCCTCTCTTTCTCGTCTGCCTTGTATATGGAAATGTTCATATTATTTTGTTGTTGTTGTTGAGGTCAGAATTTTTTTAATTAACTTAGAAAAAAAAAGGACGGCAAAAGATGAAAACATCTTAGGTCAGAAATGAAAGACTTTAGCGGCCTTTGGGTACTACATTCGTTGCTGCCCTTGATAGACAGTCAAGGAGTCCCAAAGGAAAAGCAGAAGGGAAAGTGATTCAAAGATGGTGTTTTAGGAGGAGCTTTGGATTCCTGGACCATAGTTTAAAATACAAGAACGACAGGCTCCTGATCAGGAATGCAGCACACTGCCCAAGGACTGATCAACATGTGGCGCCCCTAGGGAATGGTGCCTTCTATGTGAGGCCCCCAAAGAGCTGCCCCAGGCTTACTATACTCGAGGGGTCTGCAGTCACTCCAAATGGTAGCGTAAGAATTCCATCTCTGTGTATTTCAGTCACAGGACACAATTCGTTCCCAGCAAAGCAGAAGCATTTAATGGAATAATGCAGTAAGAAGATTTGAGCTCTTCCATTTCTTCCATCAGCCTATGCCATCCTCTCTTATAAAGATGTCCCCCTCAAATGGAGAAAGAGCCATCAAAGGGATCACATACAAGGGATCACACGGGAAACGTGGAGGAAGGGGGAGGGGAGAGAGCACTCATACCTGCACTGCTCCAGAGGCCCAAATGTCTTCTGATGAAGTCATCACACACAACCACTGGGCTGGAGATGTCACTCAGCAGGCACTGCTGGTCCCAACACATCATCCCCACTGGTGGACTGCTCTGCTGGGCTCTTACTAGGCACATTGCTTCATTGGGCCCTGCTGGTCTTGCCATACAGCTTCTCTGGTGCCGGCTTTCTCTGGGCATGATTCCCCAGGAGCTCATCCTTCCAGGGACAGCCAAGTCCTCTCATTTTCAGTCTGCTGGAGCAGAGTGATCAGAGACTTTCCCAGGAGGGTCCTAGGTGCCCTACCCAGCTGACAAAAGCCAGGCAGAGTACCCTCAGACACCTGTGACATGCTTGTAATCAAATATTCTGTTTCAGGTAACTGTCTCACTTAGGGTTCTGATACTCTTAGATACTCCCATGATACTCTCTGGCTTAGCTGAAAATGAATTGCAGCCACAAGAAGACATAAGCCAAGGGGACAGAGTCCCTGTGCTGCACCCACCTGCCCAGCTGGCATTGCTTCCCCTATCATCCCTCTTTGACAGTACCAGAAAGCTTGTTTGCTTTGCTAATGGCATACAGTAGGCATTTAATAAGCACTTGCTAATTAATTGGCCAGTGAAAAGCTTTGATCTTCCTACAAGTGTAATCACCTGACATCTTGCAAATGTAATCAAAAGGGCTTTCAAAATAAAAGGAAGAAGGAAGCACATTGCCTCTATGTACTCATCGAACTAGAGACTCTAAGTCTAGGCAGTATCTGCAAAGTCAGGACAACAACGGAAACACCCAGCTTTCCCAGGGATCAAAATACAAGAGAGGAGGCAACAGTAAAAATGCACGGCCTCAGATTTCTATACAAAAATGTATAGATTGTGGCTAAAAAGAAAGTTACCTAGACATACTAATTCAACAACGTCAATTTGACATCCTTGTGGGCAGGTAGACAGTACAAGCGCATAGAGTGCAGGGCCTGAAGAGGCAGCTAGGGGGCGCCACAGTGCACAGAGCAGGGGGCCTCGAGTCAAGACTCCTCTTTGTGAGTTCCAGTCCAGCCTCAGACACTTCGAAGCTGTGTGGCAAGTCACTTACCCCTCTTTGCCTCAGTTTCCTCATCTATAAAACGAGCTAGAGAAGAAAATGGCAAACCACTGCTGTATCTTAGCCAAGAAAACCTAAATGGGGTCATGGAGAGTCAGACACGACTGAAATGACTGGACAGCAAAAAGTGTCCCTGAGACTGGGACTGGGAGACCTCGTGGAGAAGAACACGGACAGCACAACGTGGAGGCGAGAAGGCACAGTCGTGTTGGACAGCAGGAGGAAAATCTAGGCGCTAGAGAGGGAAAGAACAGTGTGGAGCGCCTGGACAGGGACAAACCGAGGCCAACAGGAACAACATTGTCATCAGCAGATGGGATGGACCAAGCGCACAGAAAGAGAAACACGCCGCGCACAGGAACTAGTCCAAGCCTGAGAGACGCCTCTGCCTGGCGGTAACGGGGGTCTCAATCATCTGGACCTCTACTAGAGTTGTCTTTCTGCCCAGAGCGCAGCACCGCATGTCGTTTGGGCTTGACTCGGCACCGGGAGCCTCCTCACCCTGGAATGTCCAGGGCGGGGCGAAGGTCCTGTTCGCTCAAAGTTTAGGTGCCGTTCACTAAGCTGGCCGTGGGGGAAGGCCCACCTTCCTTCTTCCCCTTTCAGGATTTGTGGTTTGGGTCTGTTCCATTTGTTCTTTTCAGTTCTAGGTACAGGTGGCAGATGCGGTCACCCAAGAGTTTGAGCCCCCTGATCTCAGAGGCAGAATTCCAGGTCAGATGCTGCCGTCACTCCAGCAGGGAAGCCGCAGAAGCCATGGTGCCAGGAGGAGAATGCAGAAGGGCTCTGGATCTGGAACTTGGCAACATCATGCTATGTAGCAACACAGGTAAGCTGTGAACCTTATCCCCCTACTTTTCCCAAAGCCTGAGGTGCTATAAGGGGGGATTATGACCCTCAAAGGTATTGGCGGGAGGGGGGGGGGATGTTTATGTGTTTTTTCTTGGTCTACATAAAAGCTAATTTGACTGACAAATGATTGAATGGAATTAGATTGCAAGGCCCCCCTAGAATTGGGGAATGTATTTGGTGGGGCTTGAGCCAATGAAAGACTAGACAACCTAGGCCCTTTGGGGACACCTGGGGGAGGGGTGAAATGTAACATAGCTGGCCTTAAGGCAGTGGGGGTGGGGTGGGGGGCGGGGTTACAGCAAGGAATAAATATTTCTCTAATCTCAAAACCCTTCCTAGACATTTCCCTGTTTAGGTAGAAAGCCAAGAACAATAAGCGTTTACTAGTGAAGTGGTTTAACGTGGAAACCCAACATTGGACAAAGAGCACCTCTCACCTAGCTCAAAGCTGCACCTTCCCCATCGGCTGAAGTGATTGGCTTGAGGCCCAACTCAGGAAAGCTGCCCTTGACTCTTGGTGGAGGGTGGTCTATTCCTCTGGAATGGCCACCCCAAACTCTATTGTAACATACTGTGATTTGTCTTCCTCTAGATTCCTATAAATGAGACTTCGAATCATCCTGGGGTCAAGAGCGGTGTCTGAGGGCACACTGCTACTAGAACAGTGTGGACATTTCTCTCTCTGAGCTAGAAACACTTGGATTTAGAAGAACGTTAAATGAAGTAAAATTGTTTCTGGCAGACTTGGGCCTAAAAACAAAGTACAGTATTCATATTTTTTTTCCTTCAATACAATGACTGAGAAATTCAAAGGAACATGAAAAGACCTATATGAACTGATGCAAAGTGAAGGAAACAGAACCAGGGAAACAACATAGATAATCACAATTGGAAAGAATAGTACAACAAAATTGAATAATGTGCAATGATCATGAGCAAGCTTGGCCTGGAAGAAAAGATGGAAAAAGGCACCTTTTAGAAAGGAGAGGCAGGGGCAGCTAGGTGGCACAGTAGATAGAGCACCAGCTCTGAAGTGAGAAGGACCTGAGTTCAAATATGTCCTCAGACCAAACACTTGACACTTACTAGCTGTGTGACCCTGGGCAAGTCTCTTAACCCCAACTACCCAACTATATGCCAACAAATTTGACAATCTTAGTGAAATGGATACATATTTACAGAAATATAAATTGCCCAGATTAACAAAAGTGGAAGTAAAATACTTAAATAATCCCATCTCAAAAAAAAAAAATTGAACAAGCCATTGATGAACTCCCTAGGAAAAAATCTCCAGGGCCAGATGGATTTACATGCAAATTCTATCAAACATTTAAAGAACAATTAATTCCAATACTATATAGACTATTTGGGAAAATAGGTGAAGAAGGAGTCTTACCAAATTCTTTTTATGATACAGATATGGTGCTGATACCTAAACCAGGAAGAGTCAAAACAGAGAAAGAAAATTATAGACCAATTTCTCTAATGAATATAGATACAAAAAATTTAAACAAAATACTAGCAAATAGATTACAGCAACTTATCACAAGAATAATACACTATGACCAGGTAGGATTTATACCAGGAATTCAGGGTTGGTTCAATATTAGGAAAACTATCCGCATCATTGAGCATATCAACACCAAAATCAACAGAAACCACATGATCATCTCAAAAGATGCAGAAAAAGCTTTTGACAAAATTCAACACCCATTCCTATTAAAAACACTAGAAAGCATAGGTATAAATGGAGTCTTCCTTAAAATAATAAATAGCATCTATCTAAAACCTTCAGCAAGCATTATATGTAATGGGGACAGGCTAGAAGCATTTCCAATAAGATCGGGGGTGAAACAAGGACGTCCATTATCACCACTGTTATTCAATATTGTACTGGAAACATTAGCTTTAGCAATAAGAGAAGAAAAAGAAATTGAAGGCATTAGAATAGGCAAAGAAGAAACAAAGCTATCACTCTTTGCAGATGACATGATCATATACTTAGGAATCCTAGACAATCAAGTGAAAAACTACTTGAAATAATAAACAACTTTAGCAAAGTTACAGGCAATAAAATAAACTCGCATAAGTCATCAGCATGTCTATACATTACCAACAAAGCCCAACAGCAAGAGATAGAAAGAGAAATTCCATTTAAACTTACTGTAGACATTATAAAATATTTAGGAGTCTACCTCCCGAAACAAACCCAGGAACTCTATGAACACAATTACAAAACACTTTTCACACAAATAAAATCAGATCTAAATAATTGGAAAAACATCAGTTGCTCATGGGTAGGCCGAGCTAATATAATAAAAATGACAATCCTACCTAAGCTAATTTACTTATTCAGTGCCATACCAATCAAACTACCAAAAAATTATTTTATAGAGTTAGAAAAAATAATAACAAGATTCATTTGGAAAAACAAAAGGTCCAGAATATCAAAGGAACTAATGAAAAGAAATGCAGGGGAAGGTGGCCTAGCAATTCCAGATCTTAAATTGTATTATAAAGCAGCAAAACTGCTTGGTACTGGCTAAGAAATAGGGAGTGGATCAGTGGAATAGGTTAAATATGCAAGACACAGTAGTCAATGACTATAGTAATCTATTATTTGATAAACCCAAAGACCCCAGCTTCTGGGATAAGAACCCACTCTTTGAAAAAAACTGCTGGGAAAACTGGAAAAGAATATGGCAGAAACTAGGCATAGACCCAAATCTCACACCATATACCAAAATAAAGTCAAAATGGGTTCAGGACTTAGATATAAAGGCTGATACCATAAGTAAACTGGGAGAACAAGGAATAGTTTACCTATCAGATCTATGGAGAACAGAAGAATTCATGACCAAACAGGAGATAGAGAACATTATGAAAAGCAAAATGGATAATTTTGATTACATTAAATTGAAAAGTTTTTGCACAAACAAAGCCAATGCAACTAAGATTAGAAGGAAGGTAGAAAATTGGGAAAGAATTTTTACAACCAGTCTCTCTGATAAAGGCCTCATTTCTAAAATATATAGAGAATTAAGACAAATTTATAAGAACACAAGCCATTCCCCAATTGATAAATGGTCAAAGGATATGAACAGACAGTTCTCAGATGAAGAAATTAAAGCCATCTATAGTCATATGAAAAAATGCTCTAAATCGTTATTGATTAGAGAAATGCAAATCAAAACAACTCTGAGGTACCACATCACACCTATCAGATTGGCCAACATGACAAAACAGGAAAATGATAAATGTTGGAGAAGATGTGGGAAAATTGGAACACTAATACATTGTTGGTGGAGTTGTGAAATGATCCAACCATTTTGGAGAACAATTTGGAACTATGCCCAAAGGGCTACAAAAATGTGCATACCCTTTGATCCAGCAATAGCACTTCTAGGGCTATATCCCAAAGACATCAAACAAATGGGAAAAGGACCCACATATACAAAAATATTCATAGCAGCTCTTTTTGTGGTGGCAAAGAATTGGAAATTGAGAGGATGCCCATCCATTGGGGAATGGCTGAGCAAGTTGTGGTATATGAATGTAATGGACTACTATTGTGCTATAAGAAATGATGAACAGGCTGACTTCAGAAAAACCTGGAAAGACTTGTATGGTCTGATGCTGAGTGAAGTGAGCAGAACCAAGAGGACTTTGTACACAATAACAGCTATGTTATGCAATGACTAATATTGTTAAACTGAACCCTTCTCAGCATTGCAAGGATCTGGGATATCTCCAGAGGCCTTGGGATGGAAAATGCTGTCCACATCCAAAGAAAGAACTATGGAAGTCGAATCGCTATCACTTATTTTTACCTTCTGTTGAGTTTTGTTTCATCTTTCTGATGGTTCCTCCTATTGATTTTAATTTTTACTTACAACTTCACTAATGTGAAAATATGTTTAATAGGAATGTAAATGTAAAGCCTATGTCAGATTGTGCGCCGTCTTGGGGGGAGGGTGGTGGGGAGGAAGGGGGAGAAAAATTTTCAACTCAAAAGCATATGGAAGTGATTGTTGATAAATCAAAATAAATTAATAAAATTTTAAAACAAAAAAAAAAAGAAAGAAGAGGCAGCTATGGAGCCCCAAGAGCAGTAGATTCTTACTAGTTTACTACACTTACTAGCTGTGTGACCCTGGACAAGTCAGTTAATTTTTGTTTGCCTCAGTTTCTTCCTCTGTATAATGGAGGTGGTAATCCCAGAGTTGCTGTGAGCACCAAGTGAGATATTATTTGTAAAGCATTTATGCAGTGCCTGGCACATGTATTTGGAAATGAATGTGAGGTAAAACCAAAAGGCACAGATGAAACTTTGAAAAAGTCATGTACGGGGGCAGCTAGGTGGTGCAGTGTATAGAGCACTGGCCCTTGATTCAGGAGTTCAAATCCGGCCTCAGACACATAATACTTACTAGCTGTGTGACCATGGGCAAGCAAGTCACTTAACTCCATTGCCTAACTTTTAAAAAAAAGTCATCTTCAGATAACAAAAGCAAGAACAGAAATAAGGTAACAGGGTGAAAACAAAAGTATGAAGTTAATAATAATGATGATGATGATAACAGCTAACATTTATATATAACACTTTATAGTCCGCAAAGCACTTTATAAACACGTGTCATCTTATTTGATTCTTACAAAAACCCTGTATGGCGGCTGCCATTATTATCCTCCTCATTTTTCAGATGAGGAAATTGAGGCTGAGAGAGGTCAAGTGACTTGCCAAGCATTATGCAGCTAGTAAGTATCTGAGGTTGGATTTGAACTCAGGTCTTCCTGACCCCAGGCTCAGTGCTCTAAGAATAACATCAGAAGCGTTGAAAACTCAGAATTCACTGGAACTGGAGCAGAAATGACAGCAAAATGGGGAGGGTTTTTAAAGCTGCCTTAGGAGAAAGGAGATCAGAGAAGATGGGTCAATGAGAACAGAGGACCAAGACAAGGCTGAGCATCTCTGCCAGAGAGAAGGATTGTTGGCTGGGAGAAAGCTGAACAAACCAGATTTATAGAGTTGATATGCAAGGAAAGGAAGGAGATGGTAAGTGAAGGTAGGGTTAGGGCCTGCTGGGGATGCATTCAAGTCATTGACCTGAATGAAACACATCTCTGGGTCCTGAAAAAACTGGCAGATGGGATGCTCCAAAGATCCTGGAGAAGAGGGGAGGCCCCACAGCACTGGAAGAGGGTCAAGGCTGGCTAGACTTCTTTTTGTTTTAAATTTTTATTAATTTATTTTGATTTATCAACAACAATCATTTCCATATGCTTTTGAGTTGAAAATTTTTCTCCCCCTTCCTCCCCACCACCCTCCCCAAGACGGTGCACAATCTGATATAGGCTATACATTTACATTCCTATTAAACATATTTTCACATTAGTGAAGTTGTAAGTAAAAATTAAAATCAATAGGAGGAACCATCAGAAAGAGGAAACAAAACTCAACATAAGAGAAAAAAAATGATAGCGATTCAACTTCCATAGTTCTTTCTTTGGATGTGGATAGCATTTTCCATCACGAGGCCTCTGGAGATGTCTTAGATCCTTGTATTGCTGAGAAGGGTTAAGTTTATCAATATTAGTCATCACACAACGTGGCTGTTATTGTGTACAAAGTCCTCTTGGTTCTGCTCACTTCACTCTGCATCAGTCCATACAAGTCTTTCCAGGTTTTTCTGAAGTCAGCCTGTTCATCATTTCTTATAGCACAATAATACTCCATTACATTC